ACCTGCAGGAACCCTGACCCACATATCATAAATATCAACTGAGGTGGAAATAGTTGGCAAACTAAAACATACGATTATTGCCAATAATGACGTCATTCTGGGTCCTGCTTTTCTTTATTCATGTTTCATTTTCACCAGTGTAGACATAAAATATTTAGTCGCCTAACATTACCGTTGCTTCCCTCCAAAGACCAACATTTAAAAAGTATAACAAAAGGGTAGCAGTGAAAAACGCTCACCTCTCATTTGCCAAAAAAGGGACAATATGAAATTATTGAAAGCTCCAAAGACTTAGACGTAGAAATGTATGTTTGTCGACGGAAAAACATTTATTGAAAAAGGACATTTATTTAAATTAGACTTTAACTTGAAACTGAGCTTTTATTTCTCAAAAATATAAGTTTAATATTGCCCTGAATAAGTAAGGGAATCAAATGAAGCAGGATATGAATACATCTAAAAATGTATTAATATAAATGGTATTTTTGTTAAAAAGTTAACACATTTAATATCATAAAAACATTTGAGAAAAATCAAATGCCTGAAGGCCAGGCAAGATAATTGATACAGCACCTTTCAACGTGCTTTACAAAAATGAAAGACGTTAAGAAACGTATTATAAAATGTACCTCTGACCTTTTTGATTTCCCCCCTCCTCCAGGACGTATGTGAACACGGCATCAGTTTATCCGGCAGTCGTTCCGGCAATCTGAGCCCGAGCTCGCTGTCGACCAATCAGAGCAGTAGCGAGATCCTGTCCGTTGCCAGGGAGATGGCGCAGGCGAAGGCGGGCTGCAGTCAGACTGCCTGCGGTCTGGAGGACGTCCTGCAGCTGCTGCGCATCCTATATATCATCGGGGGCGACGGAGCCTCCAACGCACGCACTCTGCAGGAGGGTACGGACTCACACACACACACACACACACACACACACTAGGGGTGGGAATCACCAGGCTCCCCATGATACGATAGTATTGCGATACTTAAACCACGATACGATAGTATTGCGATTCTACGATATGCTAAGTATTACGATATGATATACTGCGATATATTGCCCATATATATCGATATATATGATTGCATGATATATTGGGTTCCAGTGTCTTTAACATGTGACAAAAGCCTTCGTTTCCACAGTGCTGATTGGACGCAGGTCTTTGCACATAGAGTAGGTGATTGATTGAGTTATTTTCTTCGCTCGCTCAGAATTTGATGGTAGCTTTGCCAAGCTAATTTGGATTTGCAATATGAATAGTTTATATAATAAAATATCAATACTTGGCATCCGTGTATCGATACAATATCGCCACGCAAAGTATCGTGATACTATGCTGTATCGATTATTTCCCCCACCGCTATCACACACACATTTTAGAATCAACGTATATTTTGATGAAAATGAAAAAAAGATCATGTATTGAACACAAAGGGGAAACAAATAAAGGCTTTGACTGTCTCTATTTTGGCTAAACTGAAAAATAACTATCCAACTTGCCAGAAATGATAATCAAATATGTAATAACACAACCAACATGATCAATAAATGTAAACTAAACTCTTCATTGAATCACATGGTCCGGCAGTGGCTCAGTCAGTAGGGGCTTGGACTGGGAGCCGTAGGGTCGCCGGTTCAAGTCCCCGAACAGACCTAAAATATGGAGTGTGGACTTCTACTTGGAGAGGTCCCAGTTCACCTCCTGCCCTGCTGTGGTGCCCTTGAGCAAGGCACCAGACAACCCACTTCCCCCCCACTCCCATTGCAATAGCTGCCCCCTGCTCCTAGACTCCTGGTGCTAGACTCCTGGTACTAGGATGGGTTAAATGCAGAGAACACATTTCACTGTGTGACCATTAAAGACGGTTTCATCCCTCCGATTCTATGGTCTGAAAAACATTAAAATACGTAGTACTGCACAGTGGTTTTGGAAACTAGTCTGATCCCATCTGATGGAAACTTTCCACTATTTTATATAACAATAAAAAAAATAGTCTAAATATTGACGTGGAAACACTACAAAACCAACCAAATGTATAATTCCCTGTCACTTCTTAGACGCTTTTACCCAAAGCGACTCAATACTGTGGGCAGTCCTTGCATACACATGTCTAAATACTTTCCAAAATGTCTGTACTTGAATCAGTGTGAGAACTCAATTTCATTTCTTATCGTTGTTCAGAGTTCGAAGAGGTGCAGTTCAACGCGTCTCCAGAGGAATTCACCAGCAAGAAGATCACAACCAAGATCCTGCAACAAATCGAGGTCTGTTCTCAAAACACTTCTTATATATATATAGACGTTTTAATCCGTGGTGACTTGTGTCAGTGAGGTTGCAGGGTTTTGTGCTGAATGTGTTTTCTTTGTTCCCCAGGAGCCTCTTGCTCTGGCCAGCAGCGCTCTGCCCGAGTGGTGCGAGCAGCTCACCTCCAAGTGTCCTTTCCTTATTCCCTTCGAGACCCGACAGCTCTACTTCACCTGCACAGCGTTCGGAGCGTCCAGGTGAGTCTGAAGCAGGAAACATCCAGAACACCTCCTCACCAAACTCACAATAAGATTTCGAAACAAATCAGTGGATACATTGGACCGAGAAATCTATAAATGCAAGAAAAATTAAGTAGATATCCTTTTGGTAAAAACTCTAAATCTCGCCAAAAAGGAAAAACATTGGAGAAATACAAACCATAATTGGTGATCTGCAAAGTGCAATTAAGTTGCTTAGACATGTAGTGATCCCATGTGAAGAATATACATTTCTGATAAATTAACAAACTCTTAGAGGAGATTTAAATGCAAATTACATATATACAAAAAGAATGAAATGATGATAAAAACCAAGCAGAATTTAAATGTGTGGTGACCATGAAGTTAAAGGGGACCTATCGTGCAAAAGTCACTTTTGATGTCTTTCTACATAAACATGTGTCCCCGTGTGTCGGGGAACTCACGCAGCGTCAGAAAATAAAACCCTCTCTCTTTTCCTCCGTACCCAAATCTCTAAAAACGGGGAACAACGGAGCTGATCCAGATTTGCGTCCGATATGACGTAATATCTGAAATGTGGACCCACGGCCCAATCAGAAACGTTGCTATCAGAAACAATGCCCGACTGTTTTGGACGTAATATGGTCTGTGTTTACATTAGCATCGCTAACACTCAGAGCTAACCTGTACTGGAGAGCATGTGTGTGAAGAAGCAGGAAGTAAAAAGGAACTCACCTTGTGGTATAACCGGCAAGAGAGAAAGCCTTTGAGCTCCGTACTGTTTCAGAGAGAATCCTTGATAATCCATGATATGGCGTTTCATCACGGCAGCATTTAGTTTAGACAGTAGCTGCCGGGTCCCGCATGAGCTCAGACCCCTCCTCTTTAAAAGCTGTATACCCAAATCAGCACTTTAGAAACAGGAAGTGAAACAGAGGGATATGAGGCATGGCTAGAATGATCTGTTTGGTATTTTGAGCAAAACACTTCATAGAATTTTTTTTATATATTTGTATATATCTGAGACCTATGCTATTGCCTAGAAATAGCATGATAGGTGACCTTTAAATAAGGAAATATAAAGTGATGGGATACTAAAACAAACCAAGCTTTTATTTTGACAGTGCATAACTTAATTACAGCACTAGAAAGTGATTCAGTGTTTCACTAGCTGACCTCTGACCCCATCATATGTCTGCAGGGCGATCGTGTGGCTGCAGAACCGGCGCGAGGCGACCATGGAGCGCTCGCGGCCGTCCACCACGGTGCGGCGCGACGACCCCGGGGAGTTCAGGGTCGGTCGGCTCAAACACGAGCGAGTCAAAGTGCCCCGAGGAGAAGCCATGATGGAGTGGGCGGAGTCCGTCATGCAGCTGCACGCAGACAGGAAGTCCGTGCTGGAGGTGAGACGGAGACACATCACACACACAGAACTTAACCTTAAAGGTGCTTCAGATCGGTTGAACCAAGCCCCCAGGAAGTGCTCCAGACTCTGAGGAAAATAGTCCGTGACGTCACCCGGCCCAGAAAGACTTTTCCCCATTGACTAACATTGGGAAAGAGACGTCTGTAAATCAGCGGATAATTTTTTATAACTAAATAAACTACCCAGTATGAACTATGTTATAGCCCTTATTAGAATCATTCGGTCCTTAAAGTTGTAAAATGCACTAAAAGCTGAATCCAGATTTATTTTCTCTCTCATTCATTCTACTGAGCCGAAAGCAGGAGATTGGGGGCGGGGTGTAATGACAGGAGGCGGAGCTTAAGGGGAAACTCAACTCTGCTCTATGAGCTACATACGGGTACTTCTGTTCTGACAGCAAGTTTGTGACGTTTTGCTCTCAGGCCAGTTTGTCCTCATGAGCCAATGAGCAGCTCTCATAGGAAAGAACGAGACCCCGCCTCCAACACTGTATCCAGTTCTTATTATACATCCATGAACATAACACTCACTTAACTTAACCTTAAGGAAACATTTAAAATACTTTAAAGCGACACTGACACTCAAAATGAAGCAGTGTGTATTAATCATTTGGGTGTAATTGTGTGTGTGTGTGCAGGTGGAGTTTCTGGGTGAGGAGGGGACGGGTCTGGGTCCCACTCTGGAGTTTTACGCTCTGGTGGCCGCAGAGTTTCAGAGAACCTCTCTGGGGATGTGGCTCTGTGACGACGACTTCCCCGACGACGAGTCCCGACAGGTGGGTCACGTGTTCCTCTGTCAGGGGCTAGTTATTATTGTTTTCTTATTTGTATTTTACACTCTTGTCTTTTCATTATTTTCCTGTCATTTGATTAATCTTTTAGTTTGTTAATCTGTAAAGAACACTTAGACAAACGTGTTTTGTGATATTGGGCTATATAAATAAACATTGAATAGTATATATTGCACATAAGAAGTGTTGTTTCACATGAACTGATCCTCTGTCTGTGTCTCAGGTGGATCTGGGCGGCGGTCTGAAGCCCCCCGGTTACTACGTGCAGCGATCCTGCGGTCTGTTCGCGGCGCCCTTCCCTCAGGACAGTGAGGAACTGGAGCGAATCACAAAGCTCTTCCACTTCCTGGGCGTGTTCCTGGCCAAGTGCATCCAGGACAACCGTCTGGTGGACCTTCCCGTCTCTCAGCCCTTCTTCAAGCTGCTCTGCATGGGGGACATCAAGTCCAACATGAGTAAGCTGCTGTATCAGAGCAGGGGCCACGACCCTAACGGACCCCCCCCACACGCATCCCTTCCTGCTGCTGTCTGAGATGCAGTCAGAGGCTTCAACCGAGGAGAGCCAGGAGACGTACTCTGTGGGAAGCTTTGATGAAGACTCCAAGTCAGAGTTCATCATGGACCCCCCCCAAACCCAAACCCCCCGCCTGGTACCACGGCATCCTCACCTGGGACGACTTCCAGCTGGTCAACCCGCACAGGTGAGAACGGTTTGATTTATTTATTCAGTTTTCTTAGATTTATGGATTTTTTTTGATGAGCCATGGAGGTGTATCTGCTCTCTAACTCTACAGGATGTCACTCTAATGGCGCTTTTCCACTGCAGGGCCTCGCACGGCTTAGTACGGTATGGCTAGGCCTTGGTAGGCCAGGCTCACTTTATGCTGCGTTTCCATTACAGTTTAGGAACTGGGGCAGTAACTATAGTAACGCAGTGTAGGCGGAGCCGTGACGTCATCTTCAATGCTGAACCACAAAAAAACAACATCAGCCGTTAGCTGTTAGCACTCAGAGCTCACAGCTCCTCATATCTGTTCAGAAACTAGACAGAAGTTAAACAAGTACAAACCACAGACTGTCTGTGTCATGGAGAATACAGTCGCTGCTTTATTTATGTCTGTAGGCCGTTGTTGTGAGTGTGGACGGTCGGAGCATATATAACGTTAGCTTAGCCAAGCTACATTTAGAAAACACGCATTTTAATATAATGAGTCATTAAAAACCAGTTTATAAAGATGTAACACATTATAATGTCTAATTTATTTCCTCTCCTCCCTCCATCTTCCCTTTTCTCTACTTCTCTACTTCCTCCTTCTCCTCCTCCTCCTCCTCCTCCTCCTCCTCCTCCTCCTCCTCCTCCTCCTCCTCCTCCTCCTCCTCCTCCTCCTCCTCCTCCTCCTCCTCCTCCTCCTCCTCCTCCCACAGGGCAAAGTTCCTGAAGGAGGTGAAGGAGCTGGCGGTGAAGAGGAGGCAGATTCTGTCCAGTAAGAGTTTGTCTGAAGATGAGAAGAACACCAGACTGCAGGACCTGATGCTGAGGAACCCGCTGGGCTCCGGACCCCCCCTCTGCATTGAGGACCTCGGGTAAAACTCACACACTTAACAAGTCCTAATGGGATATGAAACATTTATAAAAGCCCTGAATATGAATCAGAATGGAGAGTTTATTACATTTTACAGGAAGATTAGTTATCACCGAAAGCATCAGGGTCCTTTCACTGATCTACAGATGGTAGTCGTGAGCCAGTTACGGAAAGGCTTGTAAACTGCATTATCTCATATTGTTATACCTCCTTTAACCTGTTCAGCCCGAGAGCCCCCGGTACATTTTTAAATTTAAAAACCTATTAATGTGTCATACCCATTTAACGGGAAGAAACTCAGCTAACTGACGATACGAACCATTTTTACCGAAACAAAACACAAGTCTCATAAGAAGCGTCTAAATGAGCCCTGAGCGACGCACTTAGCACAGAACTCAAGGTAAAAATACCCTTATTACTTATCGTAACTACACATACAAGATATCCGATTAAAGCTGAGATTCCACAGATTATATAGGTATTAGTATCATTGACCGATCCGAACTTGCGACATGAGAAGCTAACAAAGACATCACACCACGTAGCGTTAGGCAGCCAACACGGCAATATGTCTTACCTTTGTTGTTTTCTGATCAAAAGTTGTGTTCAATGGCATTAAAACGATAAAAACGCTGCTGAAGGTTAATCCAATGTGTCTGTCACTTTGAAATGATTACTGATAATCCATCATTCAAGTTTTATGTCAAAAACGGAGATTTCATATATAGCTGCTATGATAGCTACGAGAGTATGACAGCTTCCGGTTTTGGGCATTCTGGCTGCGCATCACTCATTCACCAATGGGTAATGTTTAGATGGATTTTAGGAACTTCCCCTCAATTCTATTGGTTCTAACGGTTCAAAAGAGCTGTCAATCACCAAAATCGACCAATGGGGGCCATAGATATGGAAAATCCACCTAAATGACCCCAGAAGTGTTTTTTTTGCTAAATCTCTCTAAAAAAGGTCCAATTTCACTTGTTTTGCATCAATCTTGATACAGGGTACTTATTAGATGTTATAGTTTGGATTCCTAAAGCTTTTAGTCTACCATCCCATCACTCAAGGGTAGTTTTCACTATAAGTAATGTTTTTTTTGGACGGACACTATAATTTACAGTTTTTTACTGTGTTCAATCTGAATTTACTTTAAAATAAAAAAACATCTATATTGATTCTGACTCTTCTACATCCAGCTCACAGGTTTATCCTTGCTTTGAGAAAAAAGATTATTAATTTACCCCTTTTAGAAGTGAAGTTATAGTCATTTGTTCTGGGAATGTCATTTTCGAGCCTGAGACCTGGAAAACAGGCTCAGGAGCTCAACATGTTGAATCTTCAAGTTTCTGACATTTTAGAGCTCCTCAGATCTGACCCTCCTCTTGTTTTGTTTTTCTCTTCAGGTTGAATTTCCAGTTCTGTCCGTCCTCGAAGGTTCACGGTTTCTCAGCTGTGGATCTCAAACCAAACGGAGACGATGAGGTAAAAACAACCTGCACGATTTGGGGAAATAATCTAAGTGCGATTTTTCTGACAGATATTGCGATTCGATTTGCGATATTTGTTTTCAAGCGACCCAACGGACGTTTATTGTAAAATGCGGCCATATCTCCGGCTAGGAAGGTCGCATCAACGTACTCCCCTCTCTAGCGCCCCGGCAGCCCGAGCTACGAGTGAAAGCACTAAACTTACATGAAACTTCCGTTGGGTTGCTTTAAAGTCAAGCTTCAGTTTAAGATGCTCCCTGTAATAGAAATAGGGCTGTGCATCTTCACTGGTCTTACGATTCAATTACGATTATCCTGTCTTCGATTCAATTCGATATCCCGATGCATCACGATTCATATCAATGCGTTGCATCCTCAATTTTCTATATTACTGCACATGGCTTATTTTTCATCAATGAATACATGCAGTAAATACATATCAACTCTCTTTTTATCATTTAGAAAGTGCTTCAGAAATCAATAACATAAATGTCTTGACATTAATTTATAAACCAAAATAAATGAATTGTATAGGTCTAGCCTCCCTATATCTGTGTGTGAAGTTGTTCCATCCTCAAAAAATAATGCTTCTGCAGTCTTCTAGCAACGGCCTTCTGTTAAAAAAGGACACTGAATGTCCTGAATGTGGCATCACACACAGGACCTGAGTCTGAACACAGCAGACAACAGGAGTATTTACAATAGCATATACAAACAAAAATACTGCATGTGGGTGCACACTTACATTCTCTGTCTTACTGTTTCATAAATCCCATGAATGTATGAGATTAAATTAGCTTCATTATATCTCAGTGATTAAGTGAATAATAAAGTTTCTATCGGGTCACTGTCAGCCTGTCACTCATTAATTTCAGGGAGGGGGCGGGGCTTGTAGCAGCAGAGAGGAGACGGTGATCGCGGAAGCTTTTTTCCTCCTGCCTTCACAAACTTTACACACGTATATATCGTCTGAAAATTGCTAGAGGGACATTCATACTCTGCAATCCAAGACTTAATTAAATCCACCAAAAACCTGACATGATTGTAACGCGATTATTTTTGAAAAACATAAATCCCTGTGTCTCTGAGCCGCAGCGACACGGAGTGGTTCAGAGCGGGCCCTTCTGCTGTTGGTTCTGGACTGGTGTTCTTGTGTTGGTGGATAAAGCAGACTGCTCCGTGTTTGGTGTTGCTGTGCCGCTGTCACGTCTGTTCCCTGCGTCACCGACCGATTTGATATTAAAGTGACAGGAGAAAAAAAACTTTATAGTAAAGCCGCGGCCGGAAAATCAGGAAGCAACGTTACTACGCTATAACCGATTATCTTCCGTCACTGCATCGATACCGAATCGTCCACGTCCGCATCGCAATGCATCGTAGAAACGATTATTTTCAACACCCCTAAATAGAAACATGTGATGGAGCATTGCTAACCTGACTCAGATGGTTTCACCAAACCATCTAGGAAAGCTCCATTGGAAGCCATTTGGAAAGGGCAGGCACTTTCAAAAGTACTTGGCAGGTGATTGGATCAATCTGTCTATCACCTTCTATCATGGGCCACTTCTGATTGGTTAACAATGGCTGGTACATGTGGAGCACAGCACTTCTGATTGGTGTGGATGACTGAAACATTTTTAAATCGATTAATCGTCCAGCCTTAACCTCAGAGCTGTGACGTTACCTCTGTGGCTGTGAATCTGTGAAACAATGAAAGTTGCCCTGCTTTTTGAGGACGTTTATTGACTGATTTGAGTCCGTTAAGTTGATACTCAATGTGTGTATTTTTGTGTAGATGGTGACGATGGAGAACGCAGAGGAGTACGTGGAGTTGATGTTTGACTTCTGTATGCACACCGGCATCCAGAAACAGATGGAGGCCTTCAGAGGTAAACACACAAGACTGTCATTACAAACTGATGGCTTCATTTTTCATCGTATTTGTTCATAAGCTCTTTCTAAATGTAGCTGGAGAATATACCTTGTAAATGTTTTAATGAGAAATCCCCCTTCTCTCTTTTTCTTCTCCTCCTCAGACGGATTTAACCGAGTGTTCCCGATGGAGAAGTTGAGCTCTTTCAGCCATAAGGAGGTTCAGATGATCCTCTGCGGCAACCAATCACCGTCCTGGACTTCTGAAGACATCGTCAACTACACAGAACCAAAGCTGGGTTACACCAGAGACAGGTGCGTCCCGTTGGTAGAATGAAAAACCCAATACAGCTGTAAAAACTGTATATTAAGATGTAAAAAGCTAATGTTAGGCTATAAAGGAACTACAGCATGGTCACATGACTTCACGTCACCACCGCTAAGCTAAAGGAGGCTAATGTTGGGCTATAAAGGAACTACAGCACAGTCACATGACTTCACGTCACCACCGCTAAGCTAAGGCGGCTAATGTTGGGCTATAAAGGAACTACAGCACGGTCACATGACTTCACGTCACCACCGCTAAGCTAAAGGCGGCTAATGTTGGGCTATAAAGGAACTACAAGCACGGTCACATGACTCCACGTCACCACCGCTAAGCTAAAGTTGGCTAATGTTAGGCTATAAAGAAACTACAGCACGGTCACATGACTTCACGTCACCACCGCTAAGCTAAAGGCGGCTAATGTTGGGCTATAAAGGAACTACAGCACGGTCACATGACTTCACGTCACCACCGCTAAGCTAAAGGCGGCTAATGTTGGGCTATAAAAGGAACTACAGCACGGTCACATGACTTCACATCACCACCGCTAAGCTAAAGGAGGCTAATGTTGGGCTATAAAAGGAACTACAGCACGGTCACATGACTTCACGTCACCACCGCTAAGCTAAAGGTGGCTAATGTTAGGCTAAAAAGAACTACAGCACGGTCACCTGACTTCACGTCACCACCGCTAAGCTAAAGGTGGCTAATGTTAGGCTAAAAGGAACTACAGCACGGTCACATGACTTCACGTCACCACCGCTAAGCTAAAGGTGGCTAATGTTAGGCTAAAAGGAACTACAGCACGGTCACCTGACTTCACGTCCACACCGCTAAGCTAAAGGTAGCTAATGTTGGGCTTGATGACGTTTAGTGATGGCAACCTCCATTTTAAGACACATAGAATCTTCAGACATTCACCAGTTGGGTATTTACTGACGCATTTCTATGTCGTAGAAAAAAGAAAATACATGAACTCAGCTTTTGTTAACCACGGACAGACCTTCATGTATTAGAGTTTCAGTTTTTCTCTGTCTAATGTAAACTGTTTTCCTCTTCAGTCCCGGTTTTGTGCGGTTCGTCAGAGTTTTGTGCGGGATGTCGTCTGACGAGAGGAAAGCGTTCCTCCAGTTCACCACCGGCTGCTCCACGCTGCCCCCCGGAGGCCTGGCCAACCTGCACCCCCGCCTCACCATCGTCAGAAAGGTAGGCTGCTCTCTGAATGTAAAATATAATTAATAGTCAGGAACATTAATATATGTTAATAATTTAGTTTTTGGGAGAAGGGGTGGGATTAAATACGTGTACTTCTTCCCACCCCTTTTCGGATGTGTAATTAGGTAAATCATTTGTTTATATATCAATTGTAAGTCAATAATATTTTTGTTTATCAATTTGATACTGCTTAAGCTTGTACAGTATCATAATTCATAGTTTCATTTCATTATTATATATTTTTTTGTATTATTGTTACACGTTCTAAATAGAAAATATTTCTCATTAACTCGTGTTCTCTGTGATTGACAGGTGGACGCCACGGACTCGAGCTACCCATCCGTCAACACGTGCGTTCACTACCTAAAGCTTCCGGAATATTCCTCCGAGGACATCATGCGGGAGCGCCTGTTAGCCGCCACCATGGAGAAAGGCTTCCACCTCAACTGACCTCTGACCCCTCGCCTCACTGAGCATGCTCCTCAAGTCCGTCTCGCCGCCCCGCCCTCCTCCTCAGCCGCCGCGTGATTGACAGCTCAGCCGGCCAATCGGAAACCGGCCGACTGACTGACTGACAGCTGGAGGAGGAGGAGGATTTATGTTGCAGAATAAAAAGAAAGAAAAGTTCACATCCTTTCCCCCTCACCTCACCTCCTTCCCTTGTCTCCTCGTTTTCTTCATCCTCCTCCTCACCCGTCTGTGTGCGTGTGTGTGTGTGTGTGTGTGTGTGCGCGCGCCTCCTCCTCAGTTTAGTGCCTGGTTTGACTGGTAGCTTCTGTTCCTCCTCCTCCTTCAATCAATCATGCTTCTTCTTCCTCTCTTTTTATTTTATTGCTTTTTTGTTCCCGTGTGTGTGCAACAGTTTTTTGGGTTGTTCCTGACCGGCTGTAGAGGTCAAAGGTCAGAGTGCATTTGGTGTTTCTTTTACTTTAATGAAGCTATAGAGACAAAAACACTGGTTGTGTGCGCGGCACATCTAAAGAGAAAAAGCTCTGCTCTCCCTCTTGTATTTTCTTTGTATATTATTATAAACATTTATTTAACTCAAGTTGCAGTTTGAGGTAAACAGATATTTTCAAATGTGTATGCTCCAAAAAAAATAATCATTAAAATGTTTGCAAAGTCTGAAGTTAACAAAGAGTCCTGTGGTCTTTAGAGTACTGACTGGAGTTAACACACATGGCGCATTTCCACTACAGCGCGGTTTAAGCCGTTTTTTGTTGCGTTTCCACTTGGCGTAGTTCCGGCTAGCGGGTACTTTTTCACAGTTTTTCTGGCTCTCCAAAATCCAGGTTCTTTCCGGGCCAACAACCGGGCTGAGTATGCTAAACTAGTGAAGGCAAGGGGGCTACAACTACAACACAATGAACATATTTGACCGTGATTTAATTGTAATACACGTTTCAAAATGATGCCGAAGTAACAACATACTGATACCGGTTAGTAAAAACCATGAATTAATGCTGTGACAAGTCTGCAGACAGACGGCAGGCGAAACACCTTTTAAAATGTGTGATTTCTGAATGGAAATCGGCTAAGCTAACGTTGTATATTGTAGCGTTCGACAATAGGAGTCGGAAACAGGCTTCAAGTTATTAGGTTTAATAACTCCTTTGATCGCATACAGATATAGGTTACGCAGGTTCAACATCACTCAGTACTCCACTCCCCAGCCCTCCCCCCTCTGCTCCACCAACCACAGGCCCGCACACCGACCAGCATTACTGTGCAGATCTGTGATTGGCAGAGAGACGGGGGATGCTTGAGTGACACACCCAGCACCCTATAGGGTCGCTACAATATGCTCCGACCGTCCATACTCACAACAACGACCTACAGACATAAATAAAGCAGCGACTATACTCGCCATGACACAGGCAGTCTGTGGTTTATACTTGTTTCACTTCTGTCTAGTTTCTGAACAGATATGAGGAGCTGTGAGCTCGAGTGCTAACAGCTAACGGCTGATGTTGGTTTTGTGTTTCGCATTGAATATGACGTCACGGCTCCGCCTACACTGTGTTACTATAGTTACCGCCCCAGCTACTAAACTAATGGAAACGCAGCATAAAGTGAGCCTGGCCTACCAAGACCTAACTATACCGTACTAAGCCCTGCAGTGGAAATGCGAAGAGTCCTGTGGTCTTTAGAGTACTGACTGGAGTTATGAAGGTGCTTATGTTCTGCAATTACTCACCGTCACATTTGAGAATAATATTTGATTTTTTAAGTTATTATTGATGTCTAACTTTATTTTATACTCTGGTTTGTTACATGAGAATTAGATCTTAATGTGAATTTAGCATCTGATTCACAACATATTAGAAATCTTATAATGCAGAAAGAATTGACAATAAAAATGTGTAGAGAGAATGAAAGACAACTGAATAATTTAGAAAATATATATAATATTTACATCAAATGTAATTTGTTTTTGTTCAACAATTCTGAATAAACAGAAAATAATTCATTTTAAATGTATGTATTTTTCTAAATTGAGGAAACCGGTATCGTGACACTAACATGTTTTAATGCAAAGATATAATAACATAAAACACATAACTAGGGGTTTGTGAAACACACATTGGTTCAAGAAAACAAGAAATATTGACTCGGAGGGTGTTTCTCAATGTCGAGGACGCTTCCTTGCATCCTTCCTTGTCAAGGAAGGATGCTCCAGAGCCACTATTTCAAGGTTGCTATGTCATCGAGTCCCGCCGAAGCACACCTGCGCACTTGCTAGCCTGTTCCACTCTTCGTTTTCCGAATGCTAGGAAGGATTCTTGCCTAGCTTCTGAAGGAAGTGACTCGGAAGACATGTCCTACCAAGAAAGCGTCCTCGACATTGAGAAACACCCGTGGTCCTTTAGAAGCGAAGCAAGAATCCTTCCTAGCATTCGGAGAACGAAGAATGGAACGGGCTAGCAGGTGTGCCGTGTGCGTCATATGAGAGGCCCCGCCTTAAATTTTCCGCCAAAGTTTTGGGAAATTGATCCGTGCGCAAAGCATTGTGGGGATTTTAAGACCGCGGAGGATACACATGTGCAGCCTCGAAATTTCCCGCAACGAAGGACGCCGGCCTCGGTAGAATTCCAAGCATCCTGGACATTGAAACAGTCCTTCTGCAAGACTCGAAGTAGCATCCTTGAAATAGTGGCTCTGGAGCAGCCTTCCTCGACATTTAGAAACACCGAGGATGTATGAAATTAAAATTAAAAACACTCGTTTGGGTCACTTGGGCCATCAGAGGGTTAAATAAAAAATGCATAACTTTGACTTTTTTTTTTATAAACGTATTTATTCAAATATAAGTAAATAAATCCTAGAAACACATGTGGGGAAAGTCTGAGTGACCCAAGTTTAATCCATCCATGCTTTTGGGTCAGAAAGCAGCACATCCATTCACAACTTATTGCTCCTTATTCATTTGCATTGAAACAAACATCCACAGCTTTAATAGTCACAAGGTTGCAGGTTCGATTCCTTTCAAGTCTTTTATGAAAATCCACTTGATGACATTATAAAATCCACCCAGTGACATCACTTCCTGTCGCGCCTCATTCGCCCATCTTGTCGAGAGCAGTGAGCGGCGCGAGGACGCGGCTCTTGTTGGTCTCGACCACGTGTCCGTTCTGGATCATCTCGTCCAGGATGATGTGGACTCGGTCCAAGTTAAACATGATCTGGAGACGATGTGGAGTCAAAGAAACAAACATGTAACAAACAGGAAGTCATGCACACAATGAGAAGCTGTGATTGGTCGGTTTTTAAAGGTCACCTATAATACAAAATCCACTTCTTCTCCATCCCTCTTCTACATCAACATGTGTCCCTTCTTCTTCATGACTCTTCTACATCAACATGTGTCCCCTCTTCTCCATGTCTCCTCTACATCAACATGTGTCCCCTCTTCTTCATGTCTCTTCTACATCAACATGTGTCCCCTCTTCTTCATGTCTCTTCTACATCAACATGTGTCCCCTCTTCTTCATGTCTCTTCTACATCAACATGTGTCCCCTCTTCTTCATGTCTCCTCTACATCAACATGTGTCCCCTCTTCTTCATGTCTCTTCTACATCAACATGTGTCCCCTCTTCTTCATGTCTCTTCTACATCAACATGTGTCCCCTCTTCTTCATGTCTCTTCTACATCAACATGTGTCCCCTCTGTGGAAAGAGACTCTGAAAGTTTCAGGAACAAAGATTCTCTCTCTTTTTGATCCATTTCTATAAAAACCTGTCTGAAAATGAGCTGATCAGATTTTGGCCACTTTATGATGTCATAACGATGTTTGGTCTTGTGTAACCATTAGCCAATCAGCAACCAAGGTACCCCCCTTATCACCTGAATCTCGTCTAGAGCACCATTGAGTTCTTTGTGACCAAGTCTCTCTCAGAGGGGCGTGGGGAGGGGCTCCTTATTTTCATCTAAAGTAACAGACAGAGAATCAGCACTTTGGAAACAGGGCTGAAACAGAGGGGATTATGGGTAATGCTGCAATGATCTGTTTGGTGTTTCAGCCAATCAGAGACAGGCTCTGTATATATCTGAGACTTGTGATATATTGATGAGAAACAGTATAATGGGGGACCTTAAAGGATACGTCCAGTTCACTCTGTTGGGAGACAAAAAAAAGATTTAAAAATGTAACAACAGACGGTCAGTTCTCTGTGTGTTCAGTCGTAGTGATGCAGGTAAAGTCTCACCACTCGGCTGAAGTATTTATCCAAAACCTCCACAAAGTTATGAACCAGCTCGTAGACGGACAGCTCGTTCTGTGGAGACAAACAAACAAATATTTAACTTTCCTTTAAGGTTTAAGACAACAGAACAAACACTGAGAATAATGACATACATGTAGTACGCAGCGGCCTTTCAAAACTAAAAGAGAATCTGAATGATGAATCACTAAATCAAATCATTTGTCCGACCTACAGTCAATAACTGAAGTCAGCAATAAAACATTTTACAGCACAATCAATACTTTTATTTTAAGTATTTAAGGTACATTTTTGCTTACAAAAACGTTAACTAAAGTAAGGGTTTGAATACAGATCTTCACCGGTGGTATTAGCACTTTTTCTTAAAAGTTCTGGATACTTCCTCCACCACTGACTTTAGTTTCATGAACATTGCTTGTTCAAAACTGCCTAATGTAAATACCGTATGCAGCTTGTGTTATGGCGCGTTTCCACTGCAGCGGATAGCTCGCTTTAAGCGTGCCGAGCTGTGCGGGGCCCGTTTTTGGTTGCGCTTCCACTTGGCCTAGTTTTGGCCCGGGGCTACTTTTTCACCTTTTTTCTGGCCCGACTAAATCGTGGTTCTCGGGCCAGGAACAACCAGGCTGAGTCGGGCTGAGTATGCTAAACTAGAGAGATGAACATATTTGACCGTGATTTAATTGTAATACACGTTTCAAGATGATGCCGAAGTAACAACATACTGATACCGGTTAGTAAAAACCATGAATTAATGCTTTGACAAGTCTGCAGACAGACGGCAGGCGAAAAACCCTTTTAAAATGCGTGTTTTCTAAATGGAGATTGGCTAAGCTAACGTTATATATGCTCCGACCGTCCACACTCACAACAACGGCCTATACAGACATAAATAAAGCAGCGACTGTATTCGCCATGACACAGACAGTCTGTGGTTTGTACTTGTTTAACTTTTGTCTAGTTTCTGAACAGATATGAGGAGCTGTGAGCTCTGAGTGCTAACAGCTAACGGCTGTGTTGTTTTTTGGGGCGCTCATTGAAGATGACGTCACGGCTCCGCCTACACTGCGTTACTATAGTAACTGCCCCAGTTCCTAAACTGTACTGTACGTCCACACAGCAGCTTTTCAAAAATCTTGAAAATCTTGGAGCTGGGCGTGTCTGAAAGCTTGGGGATTTCGCGACCAACAACCAATCACATGAATCTCCCGCCCCCGACATACAAATCAAAAAACCCCGGTTCTTCTCCACTATTTCTTTTGCTAGCAACAAAGTAAACTAGCAACGAAGTAAACTGGATATAAAATCCCCAAACAAGCGAAAACCTACCAGTTTCACCCACTGCCTCTGCCACCTCCCTCCATGCCTGGTTCCTCCGGTTTGTATCCCGGTAAGTAAATAGGGACTGGTCATA